CTGGGCGATCTGCTTCAGGAGCGGCAGAGACTCCTCAGGAGCAGCTATGTTCGCGCGTCGCGCTGCGCGAGGATCGCAGCGCGCAGCGCGAGCAGCTTCGCGCTCTAGCGCCGCCCCCTCCCAGAGAGAAGAGGAGGACGAGGAGGACGAGGATGATGAATCGCGAACCGCGAGCCGCGAATCACTTCGCGCCCTCGTCGGTGCCCTCGACTCCTCGCGGACCAGGCAGCAGTTGCTCTCCTGATACTCGGCGCCCCAAATCTCCAGCACCGACATGGTGGGGTCCCCCAGGACGATCTCGCGGATGTCGATCTGCCCGCCGATCGGGTCGAGGACCTCCTTCAGCACGTTGCAGTTCCCGCCGCAGCCCTGGTCGTGCAGCTGGACGAAAGGGTTGCGCTCGCCCAGCTCGCAGCAAGCCCGGATCACGCGGTTCATTTTCTGCTCCATCTCCGCGTCGCCGCGCTGCACCGCGTTGAAGTCCAGGTCGGAGCGGGAGTCACCGTCTGCCCTGGAGGAAGCGGAGCCGCCGCCCATGCCGATGCGGTATGCGGGCCCGCCTATCTTCACGACCTTCATGCCGACGTCGGGGTCCAACTTCTTCCTGTGCTTGCTGTCCATCTGCCCAAAGCCCCCGGTGAACAAAATAGGCTTGATCCACTCACGGCGCTCTCCTCCAGCGGTGCGCAGCCCGAAAGAGCGGCAGAAGCCGAGGATGAGGGGCTCCCCGAACTTGTTACCATAGTCGCTGCATCCGTTGGAGCCCTCGATGAGGATTCTGGCGGGGCTGGCCATTGAAGAAGGATAGTTCCAGCTCGGGTCCTCGTAAGGCTTCTTGTCATGCGGCAGGTTCAGCGCGCCCACGCAGTACCCGATAGTGCCAGCGACGTACGATCCTCCGATGCCTGTGGCCTGCACGTCGCGAAGGCGACCCCCGGTGCCCGTCTCGGCGCCGTTGAAAGGGCAGATGCCCGTCGGCATGTTGTGCGTCTCGCACGTGAGGAGCAAGTCCATATCGACGTCCGCTTGCGTGTACGCGCACGGCTTACCCGGTTCTCCCTCCTTCTCGAGGTAGTAGGAGGGCAGGAGCATAGGCACCCTCGCACCGACGATGCTCGAGCTGTTGTCGTGGAACGCGATCACGCTGTTGTTGTTGGCGTTGGGGTTCTTGTTGAGTGTGTCCTTGACGATCTTGAAGAGTGACTCCTCCTTTTCCTGGCCGTCGATGACCATCTTGCCCCCGAAGAACCAATGACGCGAATGCTCCGAGTTGGACTGGGCCAGGTCGAAGAGCTCGCAGTCCGTGGGGTCGCGCTTAAGGTCATTGACGAAGAGGTTCAAATAATACTCGTAGTCCCAATCGTCGAAGCCGAGACCCAACTCCCTGTTGATCTCCTCCAGCGCAGCTCTTCCATCCTTCAACACGGGAACCGATTGCACAGGCTTGGGGACCATGCCGCTCTCGAAAGACACGATGGGGGTCGGGTACACCATCTCCGTCATCCTGTCGTGGATCACACTGATCAGCGTCGCCTTCTCCTGAGTCGAAAGTGGCGACGTCGAGGATACCAGAAATCGGCGAGAGCGCTCCAGACGCGAAACTGACTCCACCTCTGCCGCCCGCAGCACCGAGACGCAGTTCGTGCTCCAGGCGGTGGTGAAGTTCATCCGCGGGCCAACCTCGACAACGAAGTCGTGCCCGGTGGGACGGAGGCGAGTCTCTGCAGAGATGGCGTGGCCCCCCTCGGCCAGGCACCACTTCACCTTGGCCATGTCGTCTCCGCTCAGGGGTGCGCCGGAAGCAACGTTGAAGCAGAACTCCGTGGCGAAGGCTGCCGCGGGCACCCCGACATCCTTAGAGGGGCCCCAGGACACACAAATAAACACACACAAATAACAAGATTCCCCATATTTCCTATATTTTCTGGGTGTTTGTCTTCCCCCCCACTTCCCATATTTTCCCATATTTTCGTGGGAGTCGACGATTAATTGTGTCTGTATGTTTTTTCCCCTCCTGAATCCTGAACGCTCTTCAGCAGCCGCTGGACCTGGCCGGCCTCGAGGCCCTGCGTCGAGTAGAGCTGGATCACAGGGCTGGCCCTGCTCATCGCTCGCGCACTCGCGATGCCCCTGCGAGCACAGTGAAAGTCCGAGAGGTAATATCTCGAGCCAAAAACGATGACAGAGGAGGAGGAGAGGACGCCCAGATTCCTCAGACATTGCTTGCACCTCGTAGTTATGTATTCTATTGCTTTCTGAAATCTTGAGTATTTGAATAAGGACCGTCCCGGCATTCCTATAGGCCTATCACGAAACGTTCTCAGAACCCCACAATGTGCTAAGAACACAGAAAGGATGTTCTTAGAACATACTGCAAACCCGATGTGTCAAAACACGACAGCCCCAGCCAGAAATGTTATGAGAACATCTCGTGTCTCGTGCAGACCACACCAGGTTCTTAGAACATCCTCTGGTGGGCCTATAGGCGAGCCAGGACGCTTCGCCCCTGCCTGAACATCATCGGGTGGATGCCCGTAGGGGCCCCGTGAATCGCTAACGCAGTGAAAGTCTGAGATGTAACATCTCAAGCCAAAGCGATAACAGAAGAGCAGGAGGAAGAGGAGGAGGAATAGGAGGAGGAGGAGGAGGAGAAACAGGAGAGGAGGAGGAATAGGAGGAGGAGGAGGAATAGGAGAGGAGGAGGAGGAGGAGGAGGAGGAGGAGGAAGAGGAGGAGGAGAAGACGCCCATACTCCTCCAACACTGCCTGCACCTATTTTTTGGTCATGGATCCCCCTGCCTTCCGACACCCTCGGGCGGGTGTGCCCGGCGCTCGCCCGGCTGCCCCCCCCCCCCCCCCCGCTGGCGCCCCGCGAGCTGGCAAGGTGGGGGTGCCCTGGCGCCTCCACGGCGCCGCGCGCGCTCGTGGAGGCGTCCTCCCGGGCGGCAAGCAGGGGCACGACCCCGGCCACGAGGAAAGGGGCCCCAGGAGACACACACACACACCACATGAAACACACACATAAGAAATACGCCCCATCTTTTCCCATAGTTTTGGGGTTCTCGTCCTCCCCCCCCAAGTCCCATATTTTCCCATCTTCCTGGGAATCGACGATCGTTGTGTCCTGCGAGTCTTTTTGTTCCCAGCCCTAACACAGAGGCCCGACCCGCCGGAGCCAGGCGTCCGCCGGATTCTGGTCTGGGGGCGTCACGCGTCCCAGGCCAGTCGGGCCAGGCGAAAGGGGGGTGTAGCAAAGGGGGGGGGTGAAAATAGCCCCACGTGCTGATTCTCGCCGGCGCCTCCCCGGCGGCCATTGTATCGAGAATGGGCCCGGCGGCGGGCCAAACCAGTGCCGATCGCCTGGCGGCAGGGCCGTACCCCCCCTTTTTTCCCAATCCCCCCCCATCGTCCGGGCCAGGCGTCCGCCCCAGGAGGCCCAGGGCGCCTGGATACCAGCAGGGTGCTTCTTTTGTATGTTGTCTGTATATATATATATATTATATATATATATATATCAAATGTTTTTGTTTTGTGCTTTAAAAAAAAAAAATGTGTAGATTTATGCTTTTTTTTTAAAAAAAAAAAATGCGGGTTTTTTTTTTTTTTTTCTATGTTTTGTATTTTGTTAGTTAGTATTATTTGTTTGAACAGAAAAGAAACAACCAAAAAAACAGAAAAAGGCAAGCAGTGGTGCTTCTTGGCGTGGGCCTCCACGGTGCGGCCGGGGAGCGCCCGCGGGCACCGTCGGCAGGGCGCCCCCCTGCGCCGGCGGGGTCTGCCGCACTTTTTGTTCGGCTGGCGTGCGCCCCGTGGGCGCCTCCGTGGGCGCCCCGTGCGCTGGCGGGGTGCTCTGCGTTGTCTCCCCGTGGGGGCCTCGTGGGGGCCTCGTGGGCGCCTCGCCCACGAGGCGCCCAGCGGAGTGCCTGGCCACGCGCAGAAGGGGGCAGGGGGAGTGGGGAAGGCTTCTTCGAGGCGCCCCTGCCTCTTAGAAGGCGCGGGCCTTCTCTGTAGATGTGAGGCCCGCGCCTTCTAAGGAGCAGCCTCCTCCTAGGAAGCCTCCCCCCCTCACCCCTACCCCCTTCTGTGCGCCGCCAGAGTGTCTTGGGGGTTTCGCCCCGTGGGCGCCCGCGGGCACGTCGCGGGCGCCCCCGCGCGCCGGCTGGCAGTTCTGGCCGTGCGCTGGGGCTGCACCTCGTGATCTGCACTGCGCCGGATGCACCATACAGCTTGCGCAACAGAGCTTGCCCCGAACACAGTCCTTGTCCTGTGGACTCTGTCCCCATCCCGAGGCGGGGGTTGATCGGTCCGCCTTCGCACGCCATGTTTTCGCACAGACCTTGATATGTCCTCAGATCTTCCCAGCCAACCGGGTATCGACCCCCCACCACCGGAAACCCTTGCGAAAAATCAAACGCTGTGCACATGCGCTCACATGAATAATGCGTTTTGTAACAGCCACTCCTCCTCCTCCTCCTCCCGCACCAGAGGCAGCAGCAGCCGTTGCCCTCCCAGATGGAGTTGCAGCAGCGGCGGCAGCAATGAGCGCTGTTGAGAGAGCTCCAGAAGAAGTGTGATGCAGACCCATAATGGCGGTCCTACCGGCTTCGGCAAGGACTTGGCGGCGCGCACAAGGGGGCGCAGGGAGGGGAGAAGGGCTTCTCAGAAGGCGCCAGCCCCTGCATCTGCAGATAAGGCCCGCGCCTTCTGAGAAGCAGGGGGGCTTCTAAGAGGCCCTCCCCCCTCCCCCCATCCCCTTCCGCGCGTGGCTGAAGGACGGCAAGGGTTGTGGATGCCACGACAATGGACACCCTAACAGTCCTACCATCGAATTAAAAATGTGTTACAACATGTTAAAAACCTGGTCTTTACAATCCAGAAAAAAATCAACACATTTTTTTAACATCTGGAAACCATTTGGCAACATGCTTCCTCTCCATTGATCGTCCTCCGCAAGGCAAGGGTCTCTGCTCCGAGTGCCCCCCATCGACTGAAGCGTGCCGGCCACATGCGCGCGCCCGCGCGCGCGCGCGAGCATCGTCGTGTCCGGACGACGGCAGCGCACACCTCCGCGAACCGCTCGCAACCCTCTTGGCTGGCTTTACGCGAGGCGGGGATTTATCCAGATCCGCCGCCTGGGAACCGACGTCCTGGTGCCCCAGCGGGCGATGGATGTGGATATGTGTTGGCCCCCGGGGGCCCGAATCTATCCATATCCACCGCCTGCCGAGGTCCCCAAAAACTGACCCTCCAGGCGGTGGTCATGTATAAATTCCCGCCTCGGACTTTAGGTCGGGCGTGTCCCCCTACAGGCGGATTTTGTGCGAAAAATTAAACCTACTCAAGAAGTGCCAGAAGATAGCCAAACCTGGAAGAAAAATCGTCCCACGGTTTTTTTTCCACTGTTTTAGAGAAACGTGCCCGCCTTAAGCTCAACAAAACATGACAGAACTCTGCGCGCGCACACTCGCTGACACCAAGAGGACACAATACGTGTCCAGCCTTGCTGTCAACTGAAGACCACGAGGGCCACACGCGCGCATGCTCAACAAAATCATCAAATGACTGCGACGGCAAGACCCCGCATGATAATCCTCCAAACTGATCGTGCTTCGAAATTCAGGCTCCAAGGTGCCACCTGTGTTTTTACAGGGTACCCTGACGGCCGCCTCGGATGAATAACATGAAGGTGGGGCCCTATAGGGAGGGGGCTCCCGCTCGACTCGCCCCTGCTAGGGGGCCACATCCTTGTTCCTTATGTGTTCCTTATTACTATATACCCCCACCTACCTCGTATTCCGGCCGATAGCGACCCAATCCGGGACTTCCCATCCGGACTGAAAAAATCTATACAAAGTGGCCGTTATTCTTCTCAACGCCGTCTTTCTTGTCGTCGACGATGCGAAAAGCGGGGCAGGAATCGGACGCGGCGCACATCGCGCGCGGCAATCAATCTGGGTCCGCCCATCCTGCCTGTAAAAAATCAATACAAAGTGTCCGCTTGTTCCTCTCAGCATGGCCTGCCTTGTCGCCGACGGTGCGAAATATGTGGCACCAATGGGACGCGGCGCACATATGGGATGCGGCGCACATCGCGCGCGGCCGTCAATCCGGGCCCGCCCATCCTGACTGCAACAAATACAAAGTCTCCGCTTTTTCCTCTCAGCATGGCCTGCCTTGTCGCCGACGGTGCGAAATATGTAGCAGGAACGGGACGCGGCGGACGTCCATGCGGGCCGCGGGCCCTCCCATCCTGACTGTAAAAAACAATACAGAGTTGCCGTGTTTCCTTTCATTATGGCCTGTCTTGTCGTCGACGATGCGAAATGCGTGGCAGGAATGGGGCGCGGCGTACATCGCGCGCGGACTTCTGGGGCAACCCCAAGGCGGGAGGGGCCACCTTACTTGTCAGAAACAATGCCATGCTGATTTTCCCTGCCCACATAGCTGTTCTTGTCGTCCACCCCGCAAAAGTGCATGGCAAGAATTGGGCGCGGCACACCCCCCTCCCCCCCCCCCGCTCGAAGTGAATGAAATGACCTTTTCGCTCGGGCGCCGAGCGAAATTTTCTCAAAGTTGCGCTCCCGTTTCGGCTCGGCGCACGTTTTTAGCTCGCCAATTCATTGGGCGCCGGGGCGTTCCAGGAGGCCCTGGGGTGACGAATGCCTGGGAGGTTTTTGCTTGTTCAGGCTCTTGGAGGGCCTCCTGAGTCTCCCCGCGGCTTCTTGGCGCTACGGCCGTCTGGAGGCCATCTTGGGCGTCTTGGAACGATCTTTCGGCGACTCAGGGCTACTACTACTACTACTACTACTACTACTACTACTACTACTACTACTACTACTACTACTACTACTACTACTACTACTACTACTACTACTACTACTACTACTACTACTACTACTACTACTACTACTACTACTACTACTACTACATACTACTACTACTACTACTACTACTACTACTACTACTACTACTACTACTACTACTACTACTACTACTACTACTACTACTAACTACTACTACCTACTACTAACTACTACTAACTACTACTAACTACTACTAACTACTACTAACTACTACTAACTACTACTAACTACTACTACTACTACTACTACTACTACTACTACTACTACTACTACTACTACTACTACTACTACTACTACTACTACTACTACTACTACTACTACTACTACTACTACTACTACTACTACGACTACTACTTCTACTACTACTACTACTACTACTACTACTACTACTACTACTACTACTAACTAACTAACTAACTAACTAACTAACTAACTAACTAACTAACTAACTAACTAACTAACTAACTAACTAACTAACTAACTAACTAACTAACTAACGACTACGACTACGACGACGACACTACTACTACTACTTCTACTAACTACTACTACACTAACTACTACTACTACTACTACACTACTACTAACTACTACTACTACTACTACTACTACTACTACTACTACTACTTGTAGTTTTTTTTGGAGGGGGGGGGGGGGTGGGGGGTAATTCTACTACTACTAACTACTACTACTACGATTCCTACTACTACTATACTACTACTCCTACCTAACTACTACTACTACTACTACTACCACTACTACTACTACTTTCTACTTCTACTACTACTACCTACCACTACTACCTACCTACTACCTACTACCTACTACTTACTACATACTACCTACTACCTACTACCCACGACCTACTTCCTACTATTACTACTACTACTACTACTACTACTACTACTACTACTACTACTACTACTACTACTACTACTACTACTACTACTACTATCACTACGCGCCAGCACCCAATTGCGCCAGCATTGTTTCTTATGTTGTGGGAGGGCGGAACGTGTCCGTTGTTCCTTTCAACATGGCCCATTCTTTTTTGAGTGTTGAAAAAATTATTGAGTTTAGGCTAGGATTATTTGTTATCGTCTTTTCAAATTAAGTTCGATAGTCTTTGGATCATTAATCATTAAGCCTTTCGTTTGTCGACGAATGCGAATGCGTGGCTGGAATGACGCGCGCACATCCCCGCAACGTCCGTCGGGTCAATGTCGGTTTCCCTGGGGGCCACGTCTCCATTCGCAACTGAAATGCCCGCGCAACCCCCAATTGTGCCATCACCACTGTTTCTTATGTTTGGGAAGGGCGGTGGGAAATGGGGCATACCATGTGTGACTCGCTCGAGCTGCTAGTCCTTATTATTGTATACCCCCACCTACCTCGTATTCCGGCCGATAGCGACCGAATCCGGGACCACCCATCCACACTGTAAAAAAGCAATACAAAGTGGCCGTTTTTCTTCTCAACATCGTCTTTCTTGTCGTCGACGATGCGAAAAGCGTGGCAGGAATGAGACGCGGCGCACATCGCGCGCGGAAGTCAATCTGGGCCCGCCCATCCTGACTGCCAAACATCAGTACAACGTCTTTGTTTTTTCCTATCAGCATGGCCTGCCTTGTCGCCGGCGTGCGAAATATGTAGCAGCAATGGGACGCGGCGCACATATGGGACGCGGCGCACATCGCGCGCGGCCGTCAATCTGGGCCCGCCCATCCTGACTGTAAAACATCAACACAACGTCTCCATTTTGTTCCACTTCTCATGGCTTGCTTTGTCGCCGACGGTGCGACAAATGTGGCAGGAATGGGGCGCGGCGCACATTTCGCGCGGACGTCCATGCGGGCTGCGGGCCCTCCCATCCTGATTGGAAAAAAATACAAAGTACCACTACCACTACCACTACCACTACCACTACTAGTACTAGTACTAGTACTAGTAGTAGTACTACTACTACTACTACTACTACCACCGACCACCACCACCCCACCACCACCACCAACCACACCACCACCACATACTACTACTACTACTATACTACTACTCTGCTACTAATACTACTACTACTACTACGACTACTACTACTACTACTACTACGACTCACTACTACCTACTACTACTACTTACTACTACTACTACTAGACTACTACTACTACTACTACTACTAACGACTACTACTACTACTACTAATCAATATTAGTACTAACCAACTAACCACCACCACCCACCAACACCACCACACACTACTACTCCTCTACCAACCACCGCCACCACCACCACCACCACCACCACCACACCACACACCACCACCACCCACCACTACGACTACTACCTACTACTACTACTCTACTACAATACGCCTATGACTACTACTACTACTACTACTACTACTACTACTACTACTAATACTACTACTACTACTACTACTATACTACTAACTACTAACTACTACTACGACTACTACTACTACTACTACGACTACGACTACGACTACGACTACTACTACTACTACTACTACCACTACTACTACTACTACTACTACTACTACTACTACTACTACTACTACTACTACTACTACCACTACTACTACTACTACTACTACTACTACTACTACTACTACTACTGCCACTACGCGCCAGCACCCGGTTGCGCCAGCATTGTATCTTATGTTGTGGGAGGGCGGAACGTGTCCGTTGTTCCTTTCAACATGGCCAGTCTTGTCGTCGACGATGCGAAATGCCTGGCGGGAATGGGACGCGGCGCACATCCCGCACGGACGTCAATGCGGTGTCCTGGGGTATCCTCCATTCGCACTGAAATGCCCGCGCAGCCCCCAGTTGTGCCACCACTGTTTCTTATGTTGTGGGAGGACGGGTGGGAATGGGCATGTCATGCTTGACTCGCTCGAGCTAGCTAGCTTGATGCGAACCCTACCCCTACCCCCACCCTCCCCCTCAGAAATCGTGGGGGTTGGGGTAGGGTTCGCATGTGGCCCCCTACCTGCGATTCACTTACAAGCGAGCGCCCGAGACGTCTTCTCAATTTGCTCTGGAATGAGGCTGCGTCGAGACCTCCTCGGGAGTCAGGCAGTCAGATGTCACCAAACCTATGCTTTTTAGGAGGCATTCCGATGGCCGCCTCGGATTACCAACATGAGGCTGGGACCCCATGGGGAGGGGGCTCCCGCTCGAGACTTCCTCGCGGCTCACTCACAGACGAAGCTCCCGCTCAAAACTTCCTCCAAATTCAGGCCTGCGGAGCCAAGAATTGAAGACAGTTCAAGGATTCGGATGACCCGCTCTCGAAACTTCGTTGGGGGTCAGAGTGCAAGATGCCACCGAACCAGTGCTTTACATGGTATTTCGAAGGCCGCCTCGGATTACCAACACGAGGCGGGAACCTTACAGGGAGGGGGCTCCTACTCGAGACTTCACTCACAGACGAATCTCCCGCTCGAGACGTTCTCCAGATTCAGGCCTGAGGAATCCAAAAGTGAAGTTGTAGGATTCGGAAGAATCGCTCTGATTCAAACATTTGAGCAGGGACCCCACAGGAAGGGTGCCCACTCGAGGCTTCCTCGCGATGCACTCACAAACGAAGCTTCCATCCGAGATCTCCTTCAGAATCAGACCTTAAAGAACTGAAAATGATGACAGTTTCAAGTTTCGGATGACCCGCTCGGGTTCGACCATGGAGGCGGACCCAACAGAGAAAATGTTCCCGCTCGAGACTCCCCCACAGTTCACTCACAGACGGAGCTCCCACTCAAGACTTCCTCTGGATGTATGCACGACTGTGTGAATGAATGTGCGTGCGTGTGCAAGTGCAGTTATGATGACGACGACGATACTGCTGATGATGATGAGTGGGAGAATGAAGATGCGGATCCGGATCAGGATGCTGGTGATGATGATGATGATGATGATGCGGAAGAGGGGGAGAAGGAGAAGGAGGGCGAATATGAAGATGATGCGAATGGTGATGATGATGCTGATGCATGGTGATGGTAACGATGATGATGGTGATGATGATGTGGGTGATGATGTTGAAGTTAATGTTGATGATGATGTTGATGATAATGGTGATGGCGATGGTGATGGTGGTGGTGGCCATGATAATGATATTGGTGATGATGATGGTGGTGGTGATGGTCATGACGATGGTGATGATGATGCAGCTGTTGATGATGATGATGATGGTGGTAACGCTGAGGATGGTGGTGGTGGTCATGATGGTGACGAAAGTGGTGGTGATGGTGAAGATGATGACGGTAATGCTGATGATGATGCTGCGGATGATGCTGATGCTGATGATGATGACGGTGATGTTGGTATTGCTGATGGTGAACATGATGTTGCTGCTAATGTTGATGATGTTGCGGATGATAGTGATGTTGGTGAGGATGGTGATGGCGATGGTGATGGCGATGGTGATGGTAATGGTGGTCATGACGATTTGTTATGTCTTCCGAGCTGTTGCCACGCTTTCGCCACCGCCCTGTGGAGCCGAGCCTGAGAACGAAGCCGAGCTTCGAAGGCCTGCTCAGGTGTCCCTGGCAGGTGGTTTCTGGCGCGACCGCGGGCATTGAGACATGCACCGCACAGGCAGGCACATAGAAGACGACGGTTCGCACACATGGGATGGAGGAGGAGGAGGAGGAAGGACAACCACTGCTCCCCAGGAGTCTCCCCACGGAAACCTCTGCCCATCCAGCGGAACAACAAGCTTTTCAATCTTGGACAGGAACGGTCGCGGATCAGACTCTCGAGGTTCACAATTACACCTGATTCAGAACATCCCACTGCACAGGCAAAGCAACAAAACGGCCTGGAATAATCGTGAGGTCTTGCAAACGTACAAGCCCCTCGACAGCACGCGCGAAGGACACCAAGACACATGTAGGGACGAGCAAGCTTGCATACCGATCGTATCTGCTTAATGCCTTGGCCAAGCATGCCACGATTCATATGCAGGGTCCACTCCTGCTGCCGATTGCACACGCCGCCACGCGGAGAAACACCAACAGGAGGCCGTTTATGAAAAACCGAGTACCAAATCGGTTGGAAGGTATGCGACGCGTTCGGAAACGAATGAACAATAGCCATCGTGCCCGTGATAACATCCAAGCGCGGCCATAAAACCGGGGACCTGTACCAGTTAGGACGATATCCAACACGGCAGCGAACAAGGACATGATCATCGGAGCGAAGAGCTTCATCAGTCTCCTTACGAGCCTGTTCAACAGCCGAACACGAAGTAGCAGGCCGAACTCGAGAGGCAGCCGATAGACAGATCAGTTTTTTCATTTCAAACTTGAGAGCCAAGGGTTTAAAGCGAATGGTCATGTTGTAGGAGAACGAGTGTCTAGGAGCAGCCATAAGTAATTGAAGAGTTCCATGGTACTGTTCGAGGACATGAACAGGTGTAGGGCACAGCTGAAGAACAAACGGAAATACAGACGCATACATCACCTGGAATGTAGAGAGCGTCAGAGCAAAGCGCGCCCCCGTCTGCCTGAGAGAACGAGACCGAGAGCATGATTTACTCAGTGAGTCGCGCCAACCAATATTTCCCGCCTCAGGGCCGATGCGTAGTTATACATATGTATATCCCACGATACTTGGCAAACCGGACGAACTCAACTTCTGCTAGGCCATTGCTACCCTCGCTCACACTGCTACGAAGAAGGTCAAGATGCAGAAAACCGCAGATATTAACTTTACATGTCTTGACATTGAGGAAGAGCCAACCTGCAGGACCGATGGGGATGAGCACGGACCACACGCGCGGTAGAGAGGGCAGGATGTTGTGCACAGTAAAGAGGCAGTCGCCTGCATATGCTAGCGACCGTTGCGCGTGCATGCCATGGCGAGCACGCAACCAACGCAAGATAGGATCCACGCTGAGGCAGAGGAGGCACATGTTACATGGGTCACCATTGCCGACCTCCCCGACAAAGTCTGGAACCTCCAAACCTCCTTCCAAGAGTGATGCTGCCCCAGTTCCCCCGATGCAGCATGCTGTAAAGAGCCAACGCAAATGCAGGAACTCTCATAGCTTTTAAACCCAATCACGAAACCGACCAGGATGGGCGGGAATGGAGCAGAGAAGCCGGTCAGCAGCATGCCGGCACGAGCAGCATGCTGGCGCGATCATGTCCCCAGAGGTCAACATTCCCGGGCATGCAACGGCCCGATACGCATGTCTGCGACTCATCAAAAAGTGATAATAAACAAACAGGCGAGCGGACTGCAGAAAACACAGGGGAGCAGCTCAACGTCGGCGTCACCCATGGATACTTCTCGAGTTTCAGGGCAAACACGAGCAAGCCTCGAGCCTGCATCATCTTGCTTCGCACCTAGCCAGGAAGACCGTGCGATGCCAACGCGCATCAGCAGGGAGGTCCGCGACCATTCCATCACGGAAGCTCGAATAAACCGCGAAGAGGATCATGGTTGCTGGGCCACTCGTCCAGAGCTGGCAAGGCAATTCGTCCTCCCCGGGCGCCGAGTGAGTTCTAGCTTGGACAATCAGCTGGAATCCTTCGAAGTTCATCATCCAGGACTTGTCCGAAAGATCAGTGGCCTTCTGGGTGCAGTTCAGGATCTCTCCCCAGGGGGTCGCGCCAGCCACGAACACATCATAGATCTGGCCCCGGCAATCGCTGGGGGCCCCGAGGCCTCCAGGGACGCGCGGCCCCCCCCCCTTGGAAGCTTTGACGCGCGAGAGCCAAGATCTTCTAACTATTTTCCAGATTTCTTACTTCCTCCGAATATTCCCCGCAGCGGCTCGTTCCACGGCGTCTTCTGCGGATGAGCTATCAATCATTCATGCTTCACTGTCAAGCATCTGCGTCTGCAGTGATTGCATGCGCTCAAGAAGATAGGCAGGACGAGCAAACTCAAGAGTAACCGCATTGAAAAAACTACCAAGATGCTCATAATACTCAATAGCACACATGATAATGCACCCCCGAGAAGATCGCCAACCACGAAGTAAATACAGAGACCAATGTAATTTCTCAGAGAGCGTGGATGCGCTGCGCAATAGCTTTCTCGGCGCGTTCGCACGCGACACGCACGATCCCCTTCGCGCGCGCAAGAAACCCAAGAGCACGATGGAAAAGACAGCGCTCACTCCGTGGGTAACCATTATTCTCGACCAGCTCCATCAACTGACCTTGAGACGCATTCCGCATCGGCGAGCATATGCGCCAGGGCCTGAGTCGAAACATCCTGGTAGACCGAAAGGCGAGCAAGCCAGAGAGGAACGAAAGCTTGGGCATGATCAGTTGGGGCGCATCTTCCAATCGCCGTCATGGCAGGGACGTGGTCGGAGCGCTGGGCGTTCGGCAGTCCCCCTGTCACCGATGCACTCATGGTAAGGTCAGCCATGAGAGTCCTGAAGATGCCCGAATACACGCGGTCAAGTCTGGACATCTGAGATATCGCAGTATCGCAGACTTCTCTACGAGTGTCCGATTTCTTGTAAAACTCAACACAGGACCCGCACTTTCGGCGACAAGGGCCGGCGCGAGCCCAATCTCCAGGGCAGAAACCACCCCCGTCAGTCAAGAGTCGCCCACCACCCTCATATTCATACTTCCAGCCACCCAGATAATATCGAAGCAAGCCGAAGCGACAGGAAGAGCACCCGAGATGCAGGAGAGATAGTAAGAGCACGAGCCAATATGACCACAAGCATTACGAAGGCGTGCGTGCACGATCATGAAAACGAAAGAAGGACTCAGCACCCCATCAGTGGCGCGTGCACAATTGTGTCAAAGAGTGCAGAATATGACGACGACGGAGCTGTAATTATACCACTGGTGCGATTGTCACCATTGAAGAAGGAATGGCCAATGCTAGAATTACGAATGTCATGCTGAGAGACACATCTGTTGCCTGACCATATGTTTCTTGTGCGCAAACAACCGAATCGTGATTGCAAAGACGAATGAACTTCCCCTTTCGGCGGAGGCGGTCGCATATTTCGCAGCCTTCACCGCGCCGAGCAGACCATGGGCAGTCCACGCGTCAATGGACAAATCAGAAGGAGCAGAGAAAGGCAGATTGTCGGACCCCACTCCCGCGGCAATACCCCGAGGATTCTCACCACCACTACGAATGGCGGAGGCAACGGCCAAGCAAGTTGGCAATGGCAAGCCCCCCCCCTCGCCCGGTCTGCGCAGGCAGGCCCCCAGCAGTCTCTGAGCCAAGTTCTCAGAGGATGGTCGTCGGGTCGTTGGCCTCGGCGGTGGCCGTCGCGATCGCTTGCAGGACCGCCTCGCCACTCAGCTGCCAGACGCGGCAGTTCACGAGGTTGGGGTCGAAGGACCAGCCCGCCATCTCATTCCCTCTGATGTAGATCACCGCCCCGATCTCCCAATTGTCGGCGTCGCCATAGAGGTTGATCATTCCCCGGTGCCCGCTGGCCCCATGGTTCGTGGCGGACATGTCGTGGCCCGCAGCGACGAGCACGCTCCTCTGCTTGGCTTATATGCGGCTGCAGGCACGTTAGCGAACCCGAACATCAAGAGGCATGTCTCCAGTGCTTTCGATGTGGTGGGTGGTTTGCGCGCGAGGGTCAGCCCAATTCGCACTGTCGGGAGGGGCTGCAACGAGGTCTTGGAACCTCTTGGCCACAGGCTCGCTGGACAACTCGAGGCCGCCCGACTTCGATGAGCGCGGGAAGTTGGGCGCGATCGCACGAGCGAGGCCAGCAGGAAGGAACGGAACAACAACTTTCTCAGCGCGAAGCCGTCGTTCCCGTGCAAATAATATTCGATGGCAAGCCCAATCCATCGGCGGTTCTTGTTGAGCGAGTCGTGGTTCAGAGACGTCTGGGCTTGGCACCTACTGCATCTGAAAACGCTTTCGAGGACTCACCACCTGATGAAGCAGTGGAAGGAGTCGGTACTTGACATGCGTTCAGCTGCTAAATATCACTCCCAAGGTTGGCGACTGTGCCGTCCGTCTCTTTGACGGGCTTGTGTTCATCAGAGAGTGCAATTCCGCGACCAGTGAAGATACGCTCGAGGGAGGTAATTATCGCATCGGTGGTTTGTGTGGTCTCGTTGATCTTGGGCTCCATGTAGTTCATGGTCACGCCGACATCTGGGCGAAGCTGCTGCATCTCCTCGGACTGCGTCCTGATGAAAGCCGCCGTCTTGGCAGTGACGCCTTCGTTTCGAATCTCAAACAAGCCCTGAATGCGAGACAGAAGGTTGCTTCCCGTCGCCGAAGCTCCAGTCACCTCCGCCATGGTCGCCCGGGCCCGCGCGGTGTGTGCGGAGCCGATATCGGTGGCAGCACCTCAGCTGCGCCAGCAAAGCCCCATCCAGAGCCAGCGCGCAATGGAGCTGCCAAAGCTAACCAGGGTGCCCCGCTACCTCGTAGTTTGAGCCAAAATGGCCTGAGCCAAAACGGCTTGAGTCAAACTGGCTACGGGTGATGGTGATCATGGTGGTGATGGGGGTGGTGATGTTGATGACGGTGGTGCGGATGCTGCTGATACTGATGCTGATGCTGCTGCGGCTGCCGATGATGATGGTGATGGCATGATGCTGTGTTGGTAATTATGTGTGGTTGTTGCTCTGCTGGTCCCTGGGCGGGGCGTTCGAAGAAACAGACTCGCCCGCTTGGGATGTGGAGAACGATCACGCATCCACCGACCCTGTCAAACGACTTCGTGCGGTCCACACGCGCGCGCCTCCGCGCGCGCACGTCGAAATGCGTTGGAAACACATATTTTTACGTTGGGCATCGAACCGCTGGGGTTGCAGCCACATGCGAACACGCAACAGGTCTTCAATGCAAGATGTGAGATTATGTGCGCGGGGGCATGCCCTCATCATCATGGTCGCTACCGTCACCATTATCATCGACGCCGTCGTCATCATCACCATCATCATCAACAGCATCACCATCATCACCATCAGTATGATCAGCATCACCACCGTGATCAACATCCTCAGCATCATCAACATCATCATCAACAACATCGTCAGCATCCTAATCATCATTTTCATCAGCATCAGCATCGCCGCCGTCATCATCAGTATCATCAGCATCAGCATCAGCATCACCAACATCATCAGCATCGTCATCATCATCGAGTGTCTTGCCGCACAAAACAGAGCTATAGCTGTTGACTGTCTGTGTGCCTGATCATTATCGTACTCATCGACGCTGTCGCCGTCGCAACCATCGTGAGCATCCGCGTCGACATCATCACGTCGATGCTCATCGTCGATGTCGTCGCCCTCGGCGTCATCGCCACCGCCTCCACCACCACCACCACCACCGTCGTCGTCGCAAGCGGCGTCCTCGTCACCGCCGCCACTCGCCCGCTCGGGCGTCGTGGATCTGCACGAGGGACCGTCGCGCCGCTGCGCCGCTGTGCCGTCCGCGAGCAAGCTCCGACGAGCAACCACACTCGCGGCCTGCATTCGGCGGCGCGCGAGGCGGGGTTAAGTAAGACGGAGGAGGCCTTCCCAGAAGGCGGCGGGACTTCTCAGAAGCCTTGCCGCCTTCTGAAGGGTTCTCTGCGCCTCCGAAGGAGGCTCCGAAGACTGTTCGGAATGCTGGGGGACTTCCGAGCCTTCCGAGAAGGCCCGCCCCTTCTCGCTTCCCCTCCTGGCTCGCCGCCGACAGGGGGCAGTTTTTAACCCTGGATCCGCTTCGAAGAGTCACGGAGGCATCCTCCTCCTCCTCCTCCTCCTCCTCCTCCTCCTCCTCCGCCGCCGCCGCCGCCGCCGCCAAAGTATGTGGTTTGCCGACAGATTGCGGGCGGGAGGTCGGGGTGTTGGCGCGAGGAGCGGAGTTGACGACATCAAGCTCGTCGTAACAAAACTGCACCGCGTGGCTTGTACTTCAGAGCTAGCACCACATAGCTTGCCCACAATTGATGCCCCACATAGGTCTGCACGACCTCAGGATTGCACTACCGATCGTGCCCCTTGTGCAATACAAATCCAGCGTGCAAGAACTCACTATTTGGGACTCGCGCGGTACTGTACGCTGCGTTCGCGAGGTGGGCACGGTAGCGCTATAGCCCTATAGCCCTATAGCCCTATAGCCCTATAGCCCTATAGCCCTATAGCCCTATAGCCCTATAGCCCTATAGCCCTATAGCCCTATAGCCCTACAGCCCTACAGCCCTATAGCCCCATAGCCCCATAGCCCCATAGCCCTATAGCCATATAGCCATATAGCCCTATAGCCCTATAGCCCTATAGCCCTATAGCCCTACAGCCCTACAGCCCTACAGCCCTACAGCCCTACAGCCCTACAGCCCTACAGCCCTACAGCCCTACAGCCCTGCAGCCCTGTAGCCATATAGCCCTATAGCCACATAGCCGTATAGCCCTATAGCCATATAGCCCTATAGCCCTACAGCCCTATAGCCCTATAGCCCTATAGCCCGATAGCCCTATAGCCCTATAGTCATATAGCCCTCTAGCCCCATAGCCCTATAGCCATATAGCCCTATAGCCCTATAGCCCTATAGCCCTATAGCCCTATAGCCCTATAGCCCTATAGCCCTATAGCCCTATAGCCCTATAGCCCTAAAGCCCTCTAGCCCTCTAGCCCTCTAGCCCGCTAGCCCACTAGCCCACTAGCCCTCTAGCCCTCTAGCCCTCTAGCCCTCTAGCCCTCTAGCCCTCTAGCCCTCTAGCCCTCTAGCCCTCTAGCCCTCTAGCCCTCTAGCCATCTAGCCATCTAGCCATCTAGCCCTATAGCCCTATAGCCCTATAGCCCTATAGCCCTATAGCCCTATAGCCCTATAGCCCTATAGCCCTATAGCCCTATAGCCCTATAGCCCTATAGCCCTATAGTCCTATAGCCCTATAGTCATATAGCCCTATAGCCCTATAGCCCTATAGCCCTATAGCCCTATAGCCCTATAGCCCTACAGCCCTACAGCCCTATAGCCCTATAGCCCCATAGCCCCATAGCCCCATAGCCCTATAACCCTATAGCCCTATAGCCCTATAGCCCTATAGCCCTATAGCCCTATAGCCCTATAGCCCTATAGCCCTATAGCCCTATAGCCCTACAGCCCTATAGCCCTATAGCCCTATAGCCCTATAGCCCTATAGCCCTATAGCCCTATAGCCCTATAGCCCTCCCTAGCCCTATAGCCCATAGCCCTATAGCCCTATAGCCCTATAGCCTTATAGCCCTATAGCCCCATTGCCCAATTGCATAGCCCTATAGCCCTATAGCCCTATAGCCCTATAGCCCTAAAGCCCTATAGCATATAGCCCTACAGCCCTATAGCCCTATAGCCCTATAGCCCTATAGCCCCATAGCCCTATAGCCCTATAGCCCTAAAGAGCTAGATCGCCCTATAGCCCTAATGCCCTATAGCCCTATAGCCCTACAGCCTATAGCCCTATAAAAAAAAGCCCTATAGCCCTTATATCCCTATATCCCTATGTCCTAGTAGGCCCTTAGCGCCCTATCGCCCTATAGCCCTATAGACCCAACTATTAGCCCTATAGCCCTATAGCCCTATAGCCCTAAAATAGCCCTTATAGCCCTTCGCCCTATAGCCCTATCGCCCCATAGCCCCCATAGCCCTATAGCCCTATAGCCCTATAGCCCCCATAGCCCTATAGCCCTCTAGCCCTATAGCCCTATAGCCCTATAGCCCCATATGCCCTATAGCCCTTAGCCCTATAGCCCTATAGCCCTATAACCCTATAGAGAGCCCTATAGCCCTACACCCATTAGCCTAATAAGGCCCTATAGCCCTAGATCCCTAATTACACTATAGTCCCTATAGCCCTATAGCCCTATAGCCCTATAGCCCTATAGCCCTATAGCCCTATAGCCCTATAGCCCTATAGCCCTATAGCCCTATAGCCCTATAGCCCTATAGCCCTATAGCCCCATAGCCCCATAGCCCTATAGCCCTATAGCCCTATAGCCCTATAGCCCTAGAGCCCTAGAGCCCTATAGCCCTATAGCCCTATAGCCCTATAGCCCTATAGCCCTATAGCCCTATAGCCCTTGGACGACAGAAGCCCGACGACCAAATTTGCAGAATCCGTCGTAACGGCAGGGGCGTGCGCACACTTCACTGTAGGCATTTTGGCCCAGAGCGCTAAAGCGACGAGGCCAGACCGAGGTTAGCTGAACTCCTCGGGGGCCATTGCCACGTTGAAAACATCGTCTCATCTTATCGAGTTTTTTTCGGTACTGTACTTTCCTGAGCGATGGGCGACGTGGATGTGTCTGCCGGCGGTGCCCCCCGTGGTGGAGGTGCCCTTGAAGCCCCTGCAGCGGGGCCCCAAGCACGGCGGCATAGACGACAATTGCATGAACCGCAACCGGTGGAACCAAGGAGCGCAGTCCAGACGCGTGGGAGGAGCCGTTCTCCTCCAGCGTGGGATCGATCACCAAGCCCAGCAAGGACGCATGCGTATCCACCTCTCACGGCGGACATACGGCGCTTGGTGGATGGGAGATTGGGCACAAATCAATGTCCAGAGATCACCCGTCATGTGAAGAAACACGCGTCAGAATTGGGAGCTAAATTTCAAAGTTTACAGAATACGAACCGCTCAATTCAGTCTTGCAAGGACGTCCTCAGAGAGATGGATCAAACACCACCTGGGGAACTTCCACCAGGACGTGGACTACGCCGAGTCCCGATACACTTCGAGACACCGCTTCTAGACACAATCCGCATCAATGAGGCGATTTCTACGGCCATCAACATCGACCAGAATACTTCCATTCGTGATGCCAAGGCCATTGTCCACAAGGAGATGGTCAAGCTACAGAAGAACTTGGACCTTCAGTTGCTAGAGGCGCAGAGAACTAATTTGAGAATGGTGACAAAACGGTCAAACTTCGTTGAACGTTGCATGAGCCTGAACGACGAGCAGAGAACAGTATGGTCAGAATTGGATTTGGACAATGATGATGACCAGGCTACGCTCGTAGGCATGAGCAGAGATGAGCTCGAGCTGCAGGTGACGACCATATACAAGCAAGTTGTTGACAAAGCAGCGGCAGCGGAGGACGCAAGAGGAAAGGTTCAACAAGACAAACTCACGAGCAAGAAGCTTTTGATTGAGAAGCTGGTGGAAAAGACCCCCAAAGAATACGTTGAGATGACAATTGATAAATGGTTGGACGAACGTTTGCGTAGTCTTGGTGTCAAAGGCGGGCGAAAAGGAAAAGGTCCTCGGGAGAAGGATCCGATCCAGGCCTTGGCAGCCAAAGCGAATGTGGACGTAGACCCCGCAG